ACTTCACCTCTCTTATCTCTTCTCGCTTTTCCCCTTCTCTCTTCTCCTTCTTCCCTCTTCACTCATCCTTCTTTCTCCCATTTAAATCATTTGTCATCACTTGTAACTGAAAGAGCCTTGTCTTGCACTGAGGAAGACCTTCCTGAGGAAGTGGTATTTGAGCTGAAAGGACTGTTTTAGAGGTGCAGGAAGTGGTATTTGAGCTGAAAGGACTGGTTTAGAGGTGCAGGAACAAGGATAGCACTGGGGAGAGGGGGAGAAACTGGCTGCCCCTGGGTGTCTGATTCTAAGGTCCTCACCAAACAGCCACACAAGTGCAAAGAACTCCCCGGCCTTCAGGTATGGAATAAATCAAATACAGAGACCTGTTCTCCCTTGACTGTCAGCTTTACCAGGAGCTGAGCTAATGTATTATTGATGAGCCATAAATAATGGGGCAAGAGTGATTTCCAATTCAGTCTTGAATTACAAAGTTGAAAACTGACATTTTAATGAGGTTTTTATGGTCCAGGCTCATTGTTTACTCCCTGGAAATGCGGGCTGGCTTTCTCAGGAAAGCAGATTTTTCTTTACTTTGTAAATAGTCCTCCTCTATTTGTCAGCATCCTTTTGAATATTTATATGAAATATTACAGTGAAAGCAGGTCAAATAAAAGAGATCAAATAAAACCAGACCTGAAAGACAATGTTGCTAGTACTTCCAGGGCTGTGTCTTCACTGGATGACTCAAAGAAAGGTCAGGCACACCCCAAGCTCCCAGAGGACCCCCACCTCCCCACATTGGCCCAAAGAAAAGAATGTTGGCATTCTGGAAGGTGGAGGCAGGAGGACCACAACTTGAGCCCAACCTGAGAACTTAGTGACTTAGCAAGACCCTGTCTTTAAAAAGCCAAAAAACTAAAAAGGGCTGTGGATGTAGCTCAGTCCAAAGTCCTAGGTTCAATCCCCAGTAACACACAAACAGACAGACAGACAGATACACACACACACACACACACACACACACACAGGAGGTGGAGAGAAAAAATGTTGGCAATAGTTGGCAATACACAAAACTGGGTTCAAATCCTGACTTAATCATAAATTAACCATGTGACACTGGGCAAGTTACCTGAGTTCTCTAAGCCTCAATTTCCTCATCTAGGGAAAATAATGTCCATCATTTAGCATTTTCTTTTCTTTCTTTCTTTTTTTAAATTTTATTTTGAGACAGGGTCTTGATATGTTTCTTAGCATAGCCTTCAATGAGCCAGATCTTCCTGCTGCAGCCTCTCAAATATCTGGGATTACAGGTGTGCACCACCGTATCCTGCCTGAGGTTGAAAATAATTTCACTGCATTTAAATTATTGGTCCAGAGCCTTATTCCTGCTCCCAGGTCACAGAATTACATCACCCAGGGCCGGGGATTTAGCTCAGTGGTTTTGCCGCCTGCTGCGCAAGCGCAAGGACCCAAGTTCAATCCCCGGTACCAAAAAAAAAAAAAAAAAGAATTACATCACCCATCTGATGATTCCGTCTCTAAGCTTTCAAGTGTTCCAACTGAAGCCCCAGACATCAGTGAGAAGAAACAAGCCTTCACTGCTGTGTCTTGTCTGAATTCCTATCCCTTCTCTGGGTTAGAACAAGAGGAAATGAATGTACTTGTTTTAAATCACTAAATTTGGAAGTAACTTTTTATACAGCAATAAATAATAAATACAATATTGTGGGCCAGGGATTTAGCTCAGTGGCACCACACCTGCCTCACAAGAGCAAGGTCCTGAGTTTGATCGCCAGTACCAAAAATAAATAAATCATAATTTTTAAATTCTTCAAGGCAAAACTTCTAACCGTACAATCAAAATGACAAGTTGGGAAAAAATTGCAACAGTTACTACAGAACAAAAGATGATTGTCTTTAATATGTAAAGGGCACCAACAATTCCATAACAGAAAGACTAGGAATCAAAGGAAAGCATCAGTAAAACATAAGTACTCACAGAAGAAAAAAATATAAATGTCTTCTAAATATGAAAACATGCTCACCTTTACTCATTTGAGAAAGGAAAAATGAAAACTACTACTGTAATACTATTTTTTACTTATCAGATCAGCAAAAATATAAAAATTTTATACTTAGTCCTGATACTATAAGAAAACAAATGGTCTCAAACATGACAGGTAGGAGTAGGAATAAATGCAATACCCATGGAGAGTAGTAATTTGGCAACAGCTAACACTATTACAAATTCAAAGACCCTGTGACCACAGCACTTACACTTTGGGGACTTTTCTTACAGATACACTGGCATGTAAATGAGTGGACACATGCATAATCTTGTAGAAATTGTGTGCCCAATTATATAATTAACAGCACTGTTTATAGCAGCACAAGATCAGAAACAACCTAAATATTCAACAATAGAAAATGTGCAAATAAATTATTGAATATTATATAGTCATAAAAAAGAATAACGAGGTACTTTATACACAGATGTGGAATGATCATACAGATAGATTTTTAAGTGAAAAAGTAAAAAGAGCAAGCTATTTAGTCTCTAAACAAAGGATAAAGTTTTTACAAATACAAGCATGCTTTACATGTTCCTAAAAGATAAATATGGAGCATGAGTTATCCCTGGGAAAGGAAATTTGATAGCTAAGAAATAGAGATGGGGAATTGGTTTTTTGTTTTTTGTACCGGGGATCGAACTCGGGTCCTTGTGCTTGCACAGCAGGCAGCGAAACCACTGAGCTAAATCCCTGGCCCAAATCCCTGGCCCAAACTTTTTTTTTTTTTTTTTTTGGTACTGGGGATAAAACTCGGGTCCTTCCACTTTCGAGGCAGGCGCCGGAACCACTGAGCTAAATCCCCAGCCCCGAGATAGGGAGATTTTTTAAAACTTTTTGAATTATATGAATATATTCCCCAATTTCCAACAATATATATGATTTAAACTTTATTTACTTATTCGTTTATTTATTTTTCTATGACACTGAAGACCAAACCTGGGCCTTGTAGATTCTAGGCAAGCACTCTTACCACTGAGCTACCGCCCCTATGATTTAAATTTTGGAAATCACTTGGTGTAACGCATTAAGGTCTCAATTCTACAACTATTTTTGAGGTTCTATCATGTGCGATCAGTGTGCAAGGGGAGGAGTACACAATGGTGTAGAGAGAAAGCCTTCCCCAGAGGCCTCCCAGAAGCTTTTCCCTCATATCACTATGACCAGAATTGGATTATATACCCAGCCCTGAATCAATCCTGGTAAAGTGCAGGAGGGGGATAGAAAGTCCATGATTAGCCTAGATTAATTAGGATAGTCTGCTAGAACTGGGGAGCTGGGCAGAAAACTGAGCAAAATTGGGGTTCTATACAAAAGAAAGCAGAATAGGTAACCAACACCGTACACATATTAAGACATGCAATTTGGTTAACTGCTTATATAGAAACCTATATATTATCTATATACAATAGTAAATAACTTTTCCTAAGAAAATATTAAGTACAGATTTTAAAATGTTACTCAATACTCATTAAAAATTGTATGGAAACAAACATCTTATGATTTGAGCTGGATGGAAAGATCTGAGACTATGGGAAACATGGTACTTATTCTCTTGAAATCTGCAATCTTGTTGGAGCAACAAAACAGAGAGAACTAAACCTATTAGATAAGCAAATGAAAATTTTCACTCTCTTGGCCAACAGTTACTGAGTAATAATGAGCAAAGAACTGTGTTAAGGGTTATGGGAGACCCAAAGATTTTATAGGGCCCTCCCACTAAGAATTCTGTGACATAAGATACAAACACAAATAATTATAGGTGCAGCATATAAAGAGATAAAGATGGTGGAACAAAAGTTTTGAAAGCCCATAGGAAGAAGAGTCCTTCTGGCCTAGGGGATTATGAGGCCGTAGAATGTTAATCTTATCTAGTGTTAGCATTGAAAGATGGAGATATTTTTAATAAGTAATAATGGTGATGGGAGGGAGGGATTGGAGAATAAAAAGATGAAAAACATGAACATTCTCAGTTGGGAGAGAGATACATCCAGCCTAACGAGTAACAATGTAGAAAGCGGGTAGCCTCATTGGATGCCTAGTATGATCTCTTAACGATAGAAAGCCATAAAAAATATCAAGCCATACAAAGAAAGGAGACAAAAACAGCTCCTAAGAACATGGAAATCTTAGCCAACTATGTAAAGAAAAATGTCCATGGATGAGGAGAGTAGGATGAACGAGGCAGATGATCAGAGGAGTGGGGAGGGGTTTCATACTGATAATCCCTAAATATCAATATCAAGGACAGAAACAATTTGCAACAACAAAAAAAGATATGGAGGACGACTTGTTGATTAAAAGAGACAAGATATATCAATCTATCCCAATGTGTGATTTTACTGTATTTGAATTCTGATTCAAACTGGCAAACACTGGGGGAGGGGGGTTATGACATTTATGAGACAACTGGGTAAAATATATTTGGATATACGAAATTATTGTAATTTTAAGGTTTTATTTTTTAAAAAGAATCCGTATCTTTTGGAGGCATATTCTGAAATATTTATAGATTAAGTGATATATGGGGGGGGGTTCAAAATAATACAGAGTGAGGGAAAGGTCGGGATGAAACAAGATTGGCCATGATATGATCATGCTTGCAGAGGTTCGTCATACCACGCTGCCTACCTGAAACAAACTGTATCAGAGTCCGGCGTTCAGACTTTGGGAGAAGCTCCACCCACTGCGCTTCAGAGGCCCCGCCCCATCTGGCCTCCTATCCCGTATCCGCTCCCCCAAGTTGTCTATTAATGGTGTCTCTGCACTTTCTCTTTTCCCCCGGGAATCCATTACCCTCTCATATCATAAGCTGCGCTCTCTATTCTTCCCAAGTCTCCGTAGACTGCTTCGAGCCCTTAGACGTTATCCACGGCCTTTAGCCCTCCAGCCGCTGCCACCCAGCTCCCCCCACGTCCTGGGGGCGTTTGGTTGCGTCCAGCCGCCCACCCTAGGAGCGCGTCCGCGTCGTCATGGCGACGCTCGGAGCGGGTGCCGGCGCTAGCCGATTCCTGCCTGGGAGCTTCCTGCAGTGTGAGCGACTTTACCGGTGGCCCAGAGGCGGCCAAGCGACACCGAAGCTGCGGGAGCCCCGGACAAGTTCAGCCAAAAGTCGTTCTGGACCCGGGTAGGAGCAGAGATCGGGCCCAAAGAGTTTAAAAGAGAACTGGGGCGGTGCGTAGGTCGCAGAGGAGAGGAGGCCTGTGGCCAGGCTGTCAGAGGCTTCTGGTTAGAGGAGAGGGCCAGGCAACTAAAGTTGGGGGACAGTGGCCATAGGCAAGCTGCGTGAACACCGTTTAGTTCTTGTACCTGCCTGAAGTTCAGGCCAGGATTTTGAGGGACCGACCATGAGATGGAAGAGGAACTGGCGGTAAACAAGACAGCCTTCCGGGATGCTTGTGAGGGATGATAGCTAGTGAGAGGAAATGGAGGGGAACTGACAGAAAAACTGCTTTCTCAAAGTGATAATTAAGCACCTTCTTCAGTGTATTCACAGTGTTTTGCTTGATGCTGTATTTTGTTGGGACTCTAAAGCTATGGATCTTTTCAAACAAAGATTCACACACATGGTTTTACATTCAGTTTCAGTTTCGGGGCCTTCACAGAAGCAGCCCCCTGGCCCGAACAAAAGCCCCAATTTAAGGGTCTTAGTTATGGAAGATAGAAGGAAATGTAGGATCTGTAAAGTGCAATTACAAGGCAATCAGTTAGCTAAAGAATGCTAAAGGGTGTTGGGTCAGTGTGGACTTCATGAGAAAAGAGGAATTTCAAGTATGTCGAGAGAAGGCAATTCTCACAGAGGGTACAGCGACCTAGACTGAGACCCATAGAGATCCTAAGAATGTCCCCAGCTCTCTACATCTGGCTGACCATTGACTTCACTATCTTATCACCTCCTAATAGTAATGAGGACCTGGAAAGCAACTTACAAATGCCAGTGCCCCGAAAACAGTTAATCCAAGTGTTGAAGAGATCCATAGCCACATACCCCTAAGAAACTGATTTGGAGAAATCTCAGAAAGAAGTGTCCTTTAACTGTTCACCTCAACATTTTCCAAATGTATTTCACTGTGAGAACCTTCGTGTGCCCACAAAGTATCTCATGAGAACATTTTGGGAAAAGCACTTGAGGACCATGAAGGGTTTGGAGCAGTGGCACCACATTGAATTACGATGTGTGATGTAAGAAGATTAATGGAACAGCTGTGTGTGGAAATGGAGTAGCTAACAGAAAGGAGGTAGGGAGGACCTGAACCACACTAAACCACACAGTGACAAGAGGTACATTTGTCAGAATTGAGGGGGGAAAAGCGCACAGGGATGAGTATACTGCTGCTCTTTTCTCCGCAGGAAATGACCTTTGGCTCTAGAAGGAAGACTCATTTTCTTGATAAAATGGCAGCAGTGAAAACTCCCAGCTTAGAACTAAAGAATGTGGAAGAACCCTTCAATAACGAAACGCCCCTCCTTTTGAAGAGCCTAGTGGAGGAGCCCAAGAAAAGAGAAGTGCCTAATCACCTCCTTGAATCAAGTAGGTGGCTGGGAAAAGATGTGCTTGACAGCTCACATCTTCCCAGGGATCCAAAGTCCAAAAAGCCTAATTTTGGTGCTGATTTATCTATATTGTTTTATAGGCTCATAATAGTTTGAGTTTTTTTTTTTACACTATTAACAATAGTTCTGTTTACATCTAGCCACTTGAATGGTAGATGTTTATGGTGTAAATTACTTGCCAAGTTCTGTATCTCTCCTATCTACCTCTGCTGCCTGTTTCTCACCCTCATTGGTCACAGGGACTATTAACAGTACTTCCTTTCTGGCCATACTCTTCTCTTGTCTGTTTTCTTTAGTTCCACTTGTGTAGGAAATAAAGTTGTATGATCTGAACTTCACCATCCAGTGCCATCCCCAGCTCATCCCACTCTCCAGCCACAACAAGTTACCCTGCTGCTTCAGACCACCAGCATTTTACACCTTGCTGCCTTTTCCTACACTATTGCTGAGCCACAAAACCCTGGAATATCCTATACAAGGTGTAATAAAAAATACAGTGAGTATTTGAATTTAAAAATGTATTATAGTAAAAGGTAAATGGCCGTTAATCATCCTCAAAATACTCCCCCTTATTTCAAACACACTTGTTCCATCATTCTTTGTTTAGTAGTTTTGGAAATCCCCTTTCTTGCCTTTACAAGGTGTAATAAAAAAAAATATAGTGAATGCAGCTGCCAAGTACCATCCAACAGAAAGGCAGGCTCATAAAACATTGCAGTGTGTCCGCATCCACCTTATTCACCACATCTGGCACTGTGCAACTTCTGACTCTTCCCCAAAGCCAAAATGACCATGAAACGTAAACATTTGAATTAATTCAGAGTATTGAGGCAGCCATGCAATGCAACTAAAGACATTCAAGAAGGAGGACTTCCAGAACTGCTTCAGAAAATGGTAAAAATGATGGCATAAGTGTGTTCAAAGTGAGGGTGAGTATTTTGAAGGAGATTAATGGCAGTGTATCTTTTATTATAATAAATGTTTAAATTCAAACATCTTGTATTTTTTGTCACTCTGTAGTTATTATGGAAAAAGCAAATCATCTTCCCTGCATTACTCTCATTTTAATCCCTCATTTAACCCACAACAACCTCATGAAATACATTCTTTTTCTGTTTTACTGTTGAGGAACCTGAGACTCAGTGAGGTCTGTAATTTTCCTGAGATGGCACTGTAAGACCGAGGGCCTTACCAAACACTCCGAGGAGCTGACTATAGTGAAGCACACCCAGGAATCCCAGTGGTGCCCTCAGAATGTAAGACCGAGAGCCTTACCAAATGCTCTGAGGAGCTGACTAGTGAAGCACACCCAGGAATCCCAGCGGTGCCTTCAGAATGTAAGACCAGGAGCCTTACCAAACGCTCCAAGGAGCTGACTACAGCAAAAAACACCCGGGAAGGAACACACCTGACAAGTTGGGAAACAGACCTTTATTAGTCTGGCCAGACGGCACTCCCAAAGCAAAATAGCTTAGAGAGGCAACTGGCTCAGAATCCGAGGCTGTTTTTATAGGGGGTTGAGGGGGAAGTTAACATATTAAAGAAAAGGGGACAAAGGTTAGTGGTCGACTGTCACATATTGATGGTCAGCAGACATCTGCAGCTTGTTCTAACAATTGTGGTGCCTGGAATATCAGTTCCGGGTAAACAAAGAGTTGAGTAGTTTACTCTGGGACTCTAGGTCTGTTACAGATCCCTATCTAGTGTCCCTAGACTAACAAGCATCTCCATCCATTAACTCACATTTTAATCACAATGGGGCTGGAGAAAAAGGAACAAAGGTTATGCAGTCCCACATTCCCCACTGATTTTTGGAACTTAAGTAATCTTACGCACAAATGTAGGTATCCATTGTATACAACAACATGACAATAATAAGCATGTACACACAACTATGATGACAAGAAAAAGTTGTTTTAACCATTGTAGGTTGGGCAACCATGAAGTTAACCATTTGAACAAGTCCCCGCCATCCTCATTATATATTTTTTTAACCAGATCTTTTAATTGTTTTACCTTTTTTTCTATCTTTGGACCATTATTGGTAAGATTGAAACAACACATATTTTTTACTCTTTCACAACCTTGGTGGTGAAGGAGCAACAAATAGTCTATTGTTGCTCTATTATCTAAGATTGCCTGTTTCTGTTCCTGTAACTCTTGGTTAACTAATGCCAAGGCTGATGAGGTAGCATTTAACCCTTTGACCACCTTGCAAGCTAATTTTCACACTGCCTTTTCAGCATGGACTCCTATAGAAGGCAGGGCAACAAAAGATGCTATCATGGTTATTACTTCAGCATCTGTTAACAGACCTACATCATCATCACATCCTGGTGCAGTGTAAGGTGACCAACATTTAGTTCTGTTAGGCACAACCAAATCAGTCCTGTCTGGCAACACTACAGCTAGACGACTCAAGCAGCAACGGGTCTTGGTTAAATTTGCTGGAATATAATTAAAGGTTATTCCTTCACAGGTATAAAACCATCCTATGGGCAGGGAGATATGGCAATTATTATACACAATTTTTTGTTTTATGTGGCAGGACATCCCTTTTGACTGTTTTATCCTCAGACACTTGGTTGTACAATTTTCATACATAGCACGTTCAGTTTTGTTTGACATAATTACCTTGGGTGTATATAATTTGACAGCATTTTTAGGTTTATGGCAGGTGTCATGCCCCCAATTATAACTATCCATGTAAGTAAGATTTTTTCCTGGGATGTCCTTAAATAGGGTATAGGGTTGTATTAACTCTAAAGAGGTGCATACCGGAATGAGACAGCTTCCCAGCACATAATAGAAATTTACATCAGCATTTAAGCAGAATTCAGACAAGTTAAGCGAGTTTGCCAATTGAATCCATACATTTTTTGTGTGATCTAGTCCTCTTGGGGGCAATAATGCCAGTGTCCCAGAGAATATCATCATTAAGGTGAAACATCTCCAACCCATTCCAGTCTTAGCTTTTGGTCGCCTGGTTGGCTGATAACCTTCCATTTGTCCTTCTTGATGTCTGTGGGGGGTCCTGCTTTTAGATGGTTGTGATGTATCCAGGCAGAATGTCCAGCCACCTTCACCGCCAAGGGAGTTGACAGGACAGTAGGAACTGGTCCCTTCCAATGAGGTTTCAGGGTCTTGGAATCAAACCTGTGAATAAAAACCAAATCTCCCGGCTTATAGGGTAAAGGTTGTAAAGGGTTTTCATTTGGACTAGTCATTTTCTTTCATAATGTCTCATGTAGCTCTGACTGAAGCTGATGAACTGC